TATACAATATATATATATATATATATATACAGGTATACAATGTGTATGACGGTACATCACACATTTTCTATCCGCAATAATGACTCTAATGTACATTTCTTGTTATATTAGATTATTTTTTGCCTCTTTATTTTTATTTTTATTACTTGCGACTCGTTTTGTATTTTCCTTTTCATTACTTGCGATTCATTTTGTACTTTTCTTATTATTTTTGGTTTCTTATTCTTGTGGCAATTTTACATTACGTTTTGTACTTTCTATCAGAAACATGTTCGTCCTTAATCTACATACACAATCCAGAGGAATACATTGTTGTCGATTACAACTTTCTTATAACTTTCATTTTATGTTAGAGCGAGATTTATATTTAATACTGCGATCGAGAGCGAATTTTAATTTTTATATATCTTATCTATTTATAATAATATTTCCACTGTTATTTTTGTTCACATTGAAAATGATCCAACAGGGATAGAAACGTTTATTTTGTTTTATTTGTTACCGGTCAAATTAAAGTTTATATTTTAACTTAATGACATATTTTATTTATTAACTGTTCAAAAAATTTTTTTAATTTATGATAATTGTTTTAGGCTCGTAGCCCTTTCTGTTTGTTTAATTTATTGAGCCTTATTACTATTATAGTATAAATATTAACACATTTGTGAAAATATATTATAATGTGAAATGTGCTTTTAAGCGAAATAAACATCATGCGCATGTAAGATTGAAGAGATGAATATTTCTGCAATCTTATGATATATTTCTGTAATATTATGATGCATAATTTATGTAGCGTTATATGAACCAAGTATCGATTTATCATCTGGAGTTGAAAAGTGGATGTATTATCGTCAGAGCTATGTTACATCCACATTCACATCAGGGATAGTAATGCACAGCAGCATTTTGCGGTTATAGTTTTCGGGCGGCATATCCTCTCTTAGGTTTCTGGTAGATTAGGTTATGGCTATTGGAGCGATTGCTGTGCAATATGGCGCCGATGGTTACCAACCAAAGGCGAAGGACAATTGGCGGGAAATCGTTAGGTTGAGAATGAGTGCTACTCATTGCTTCTGATTTTTATGCCATAAGGCGATTTAATACAAACTTAATATTAAACTAACTAAATGCTAAATACAAATATAGATTAGAAAAGAGAGTGGGGATGGCGCGTGTAAGACGACTCGGATACCGGCATTGTGTCGCGGAATTACAATACAAGAACTATGAAAATACACTCTAAGAAATTATCTGACGACGCTAACAATTATCACAGACATGAACAGTGATCGGTATCGGTCTCGCGGAATACATAAAATAATTCGGAACTTTAACTGACTATCGCAGAGACTTACACGAGGTCCGCACACGGCATGCCATGACCCCAGAGAAAGCGAACGAAGAAGAAACGGAAAGAACGACTACATCAGCGCCGCGACGGACGCATGCAGCGCCGCCACTGGCGCTCGCAGCGCCGCAGCTAACGTTTGCAGCGCCGCGACCAACGGTCGCAACGCCACAAGGTGTCAGATCATTATGCCCTCTAATGTTACGTGTCTGAATTGCCTCAATTTTGTCACAGCTTTTCTAGGTAAAAGGTGGGTGGAATCACTTATTATCCTTATACCGTGTTCCGTGTATTATCTTATTATTCAATGTTAAAGATTCCGGCGCGGACGTCCATGCAAGGCGGACTTGTTTATGTGACGTGTGCGCATTCGGGATTGCTTTTGCGTGTTTTGCGCGTATCTGCGTTATAGTTTCTTTCTTTGGCTCTTTTCCAGGACTGACTTGTTTTCTTTTTACTGATGGACATTCACGTATTATCGTACTGTTTTCTCGGTTTTTCAACAATGCAATCGCCGCACGTGGCGGCGTCCCCCCCCCCCCCCCCCGCATAGAGGCATGGCCTCGGATTCAAGTGGAGGAAGTAATCATAGCTCGCGTAGCGTTTCCTTCTCCCTACACCCTTCTACCCTCGTATATAATCCGCATGAACCTGCAAATTCTATTGCAAGTATAATGAATTCTAAAACACCGGAAAATCTATCCGACATTATGCTCAAATCTCTCATAAGTGAAGCAGGCATGGCCGAGTCGTGCAATTCGAATTGCGAGGTTGCGTCAGCCTTTTAAGAGGATAGCGCAACAATGTCATAGTTCGCCCATGGACATCGATGAAATAATTAACTCAAGGAAACGTCCCTCCTCCCTGACCGAGACGTAAGCCAGAATTCACCCCTTATTTCCTCCTCGAAGAAATCTTCTGAAGTTATTTCCCCACCGTCAAATTCACAGGGATTGCAACCACAACAGGGCAAAGACGTGAGTTTATCAGATCCGCATGCTCGTGATAACCTCAATTCTTCTAATCCTAAGGCATCAGCAAAATATAATTCGCAGGATAATGACCCCTATGCAATTTACTATCTATGACATGAATCATGAAAAATCAACATACCCCGATAATTTCCAGCATCATAATGAAAGCAGGTATTCCGGATATACAGAAAATCAAGAAAATAGGAAAAATACTCATAGAAGCAAAAACTGCCTTGGTTGTAAATAGGTTAGTTGATAATCCTATTTTTTCTAAGCATAATCTGAAAGCCTTTATTCCAGAATTCCGAGTTTTAAGAGTGGGATTCATAAAAGATGTTCCAACTCAAATTGACTTGGCTGTTCTTAAACGCATTGAAGTTCCTCATAATAGTAAAATTCTGGACATCCATAGGCTCAACAGAAAGACAACCAAAGACGGCAAAACTGAATATATACCCTTAAAGACACTGCGTATAAAATTTGCAGACTGAATTTTGTCGCATGAAGTATTTTTGTTAAAGACTAGGCATGAAGTATGTCCTTTTATCCCGAAGCCTCGCATCTGCTTTGCCTGCTACAGAGTCGGACACATTGCAAAAGTGTGCAAGAGCCAGCCAAGATGCCTTTATTGTGGGGACAATAGACACGAAACGGGAGCCGACAGCTCTTGTTCTGGACATGTAGAGAGTGACAAGTGTATTAACTGCAAAGGTAATCACCTCGCAACTTCCAAGGAATGCCCGATAGTTTTGAAGCAGGATCAAATTATTAACTTAGCGAAAATATCCCCATCGCAGATGCTAGAAGAATCATTAATGATAATAACAGATATTCTTCCCAAAGCAGGCCTAGGATGGATTTAAATAATTTTTTATATTTAAGAAAGAAATCTAACTTTAGTTCTACGGAATTATCAAGTTTTGAAAGTCCTAATTCTTTCAATATTTTAGATTCGGACGACTATAGAAGAGAATACAGATCTTATGCAAATATCACCAGTTCGAGTCCGCACTGTCGCGCACTGATTCTGATAGCTCCAACAGTGGACTCAAGAACCGTTCATCTCCTACGCGACAACCCCTTCCAGCCCTGCGCCTCCTCGCAGAAGCTCCAGTCAATAACATCTTAATAACGCAGGTTATGATAGAAGAGCACATCAAAATGCGCTCTATGATTATCAACGAACGCTTCGCAGCTAATGGCTTAGCACATTAAGGTGCCCTCCCTCCTCAGCATGGCTTTGATAACGCAAATTCTTTTGAGGGCACGAATTTTATGCCAGAATTTAATTTCGGAATTGATACATTGCTTTCAAAATCACGATTTTTCGAGTATTGTGAATATATAATAGTTCTTTCAATTATTAAAAATATTAGTTTCCTTAATAATAATGCGCATGATTCTACCAATTATCCTAGCCCTCCATCTCCTCCCAATTACCATCATAGCCAAATAGATCCGCCTGAATTTTGGAATTACAACCACCCTAATACTCTGACAGCTATAGGAATAATTTTCGGAATTAATCTGGACAATATAAAAATACTTATACTTCTCCCTCATCTTTATCCCTTCTCTCGGGGTTTAAGATCAAAACACCCCATTTTCCGGGTAAACAATTCAAATTTTCAGAGCAATTTAAAATCATATGGAACTGCAGGAGAGCCCGAGGTAACCTGACATCCCTGCAGACCGTCTCTTAAGACCATAATGTGATCTGTGTTCAGGAATCCTTGCTTAAGCCAGGTGACTATCTGAAAATTAAATCTTTTAACGCCGTTAGGACAGATGTCACGCTAAGGGGACACAGTAGTATCTGTATCTGGATTCGGAAGAACATCAAGTTTGAAGCCATTCATTTAGACAACGTTGATCATGCATCCGTGGAAATCAAGTTATTAAACTTTACTCTTGTAAGGATTCTATCCTAATTCTATTAAAAGGATTTTAGTAAATATCTATAGACACTCAGATCAAGACACTCTTCTTATATTCTATCTGAATTTATTTAATCCCTTGGTATCATATAACCAAGTTTTGTTCGTAGGAGATTTTAACGCTCATCATACGAATTGAGGCTGCGCCTCTCAATCGGGCCCGGGTAAGAGATGAATGAAGGCCATTGAAGACAATGATTTTGTAATACTTAATGATGGTTCTCCTACCCTCGTACATATTTCTGCTCGCAAATCAGTTTCAAAAAAATTCTGCTACAAATTGAAATTAAAATCGGAAGACCTGGATAAGTCTTACGTTATCCTAAAAAAAACACTGCTCACGAAATCTCTGAGACGATATGATGAACGCCCTCTCTCAATACAACACATTTTCTAAACATATCCTGGAATCTGCTAGGAATTTACTACCTGCTGGCAAGGGTTTACTGCGTAGTAAAGTCAATTCGAATCATTTAGATCCTCCTCCTTGATGGAATGAAGGATGCGATATCGCGGTCAAAGAAAAAATTGCTTAAGGAATTCATTGCGTGTCCCGATAGAGTCCATTTTAATAATTTCAGAAAAGCCAGAAAGAAATGTGTGTGTGAATGATTATCTGAGACAAAGCGCCTTGGTTGGAGAAAGTTAGTAGGAGGATTCAACAATGTCACTTCCTCGCAGCAAATATGGTCTCTCATCAGATGCTTTAGACATAACAAGAATTCCTCTCCCTTCTGCAAGAACAACCTCTCTAAAGTATCGCTTGAAGCAATAGAACTGTGTCTCTCCTGCTATTACGATCATTCGAAGCATATAGACAATGAAGAAAAAGGATCTTCTCCAAAACATACATCACTGGCTAGGAGAAACTTTCTCATTTGACGTCAAGAGCCATCAATGTGGCCATCAAAAAGCGATCCGGTCCTGGCTTCGACCAGGTTAACTATAACATAATTTCCAATCTTCCAGATGAATATCGAACTCAACTCTTGAGCTTATATAATAAAATCTTAGCTCAAGGTGTGTTCCTGAAATCCTGGTCGGACTCGCTCATTATTTTGATCCCGAAATTGGGGGGGGGGGGAGAATTCGTTCGATCCATTTCATTACTTTCTTGCTACACCAAAATTATGGAATATATGATTTATTTTAGGCTTAGATGGCTTCTGAAATCTCGCCCTATTCTGCCGCAAACTCAATCTGGCTTTCAATCTTGTATAATCTGGCTCTCAGGTCTTGTATTAACAATTTGGCTACTCTTACTACTAATATTAGAACTGGTTTCATCAAAAATTCACCCACAGTTGCAGTCTTTTTAGACATCACTGGTGCATTCGACAATGTCGACCCTCACATCTTAATTAACCTGATGGAAGTTGGCATCCCTGCACCTATTAGGAAATTCATAATCTTATTAGCAAAACAATCCTATATTTTGTGATCGATGGATCGCTCTCGGGCCCATTTGATTCTTATAAGGGTATGCCACAGGACTCCGCTCTTAGTTCTATACTTTTTAGTATCGACCTTAGAGATATCAATTCTAATCTACACCCGGAATCTCGGATATTACAATATGCAGATGATGTCATTATATACTCTACTCAACGCAACATTGAAGCGGCAATTTCTTCTGTGCAAAATTCAATTAACAATATTTTCATATCTCAGATGCAGAGGACTTGAACTTTCGTCAAATAAATCGAAATATGTCATATTTTCTCAATCCAAAAGATACTCAGAAGCTCCTGCTAGTAAAATTGACAATTCTATCATTCCTAGAGTCTACTCTCATAAATTCTTGAGAACTATTTTAGATGAGAAACTGTCAGGCAACTTATAGCTTAAGGCTCTTATTGAAAAAGGTAAAAAGATTGTAAATATCAACTCTTCATTATCTGGCGTTAAATGGGGATCACATTCTGGTCTCCTCCTTTCCGTCTATAGAGCAACCTTTAGAAGCATGGTTGAGTATGACTCACAGATCTTCTCCTGGAGCACAGATTCCGCGGACTTTGTCAAACTTCTCCTTATTCAATACAAGGCTATCAGAAAAGCAATGGGATACCGCAATTCCTATAAACGTCATGCTGAGCGAGGCCCGGGAGCCCCCCTTGCACCATAGATTTAACCTTATCGCCTCTAAGTTCATATATAAGTCTATGGCTCATAAATTCAGCACCTCATACAATGCTCTGGGAACTTGAATGCATAGCTCTCAAAGAAATCGTAAAACCGAAGCCATTAAAGACTCAAAACTCTTTAAAGCTTACATCTCCCATAATCCAGACAAGAAAATTACCCCCCCCCCCCCCCCCCCATATCTCCCGGCCTTTTGGCATGAATTTGAAGTAATGTCACAACCTATTACATATGCGAAATCTATGTTAGAATGCAACAAAACACACTTCACACGTGACAGCTGATTTCTTGTCCAAAATGTCCGGGCTCAGGCAGGATGCTGTCTTCATCTATACAGACGGATCTAAGGAACCGGGCATCGCAGTAGGAGCCGGCGTCTATTCATCGGCTCTGGACTTCGCTATTGAGCATAAACTTCCCAGGGAAACTTCTATCTTTTCGGCGGAACTATGGACTATATTTCAAGCCACGTTTTTCGCCAAGGACTGCGAAAATAAAAATATTATCATATTTTCCGATTCCAAAAGTGCTCTTGACGCAATAAATTACAATAGATTACAATATCCAGAATAACTTTATTATTTACGATATTAGACAGAATATTTTGGATGCCTCAAAGAAGGGAATTGAAATCACTTTTTTGGATTCCATCTCATTCGGGTATTCCAGGAAACGAGAAAGCAGACGAGATCGCTAAACATGCTTCCATAGAGGGACGCGCCCCGACTTTTAAAATTCCATATGAAGATATGTTCATGGAATCTAAAGAAATCTTGGAGGCGCGATTTAAGACATATCTAAATTCAACGGCAGCATATAAAGGCACACTTCATCACGAGCGCTTTCCTATGAACTTCAATAAAACCTCTCTTAATGGAGAGGAGATTATGATTAACCGTCTTAGGTACAACCACTATAATCTCAACAGCAGCCTTTATAGAGTAAACATCATAGTGTGGACTCCTCAGCATGCCCTTGCGGAGCAGAAATACAAGACGTCAACCATGTCATTTTCCAGTGCGAACTCTGCAATCAAAAAAGTCATCTCCCCTTCGTATTTATTGTAGATCTAAATTTTCCGAATCTCCTGATGACATCTTTCCCGCTCTATCCCATCCTTCTCCTAAACTCTGTAGGCTCCTTATGGCCTTTACGAAGGCCTCTGAGCTTTTGATAATTCCCCCCTCTCCCATGACGCGCGACCACCGTCGTTTGGCAGCAGGTGCCCGGTTTGGGGAGATTTCCTCCTCTTAGAGTCTTACACAATAGATTTACATGCAATCGGAAGCATATCAACATAAGGCGGATACTCATTGATTCAGTTCCAACCTGTCTGGTTGCGGAGTCAATAAAAAGAAGAAGAAGAAGAAGTATTCAACGTTAAAGAATAAAATGGGCGAGTTCAAAATGGCGGAGTGGTTGAGCGTGTTTAAGGCTTGATTCTCATATAGCACCGGCGCTTTAGCACGGTGTCAGCGTTCAAACGCCGTTTCAAATGTTGATCAACAACCAATGAGCAGTCGACTTGAGAATAACCGAAACGATAGTTTTTGTATTATAAATAACCCTTAATTGTAAACTA